TCAGTTTCCTCATCTGTAAAATGGAGATGTTAATATGTTTCTACCTTGTTGGGTTGTTGTGGGGATTAAATGAGAAACAATGGGCAAACTGTACAGTACATACCAGACACATAGAAAGTGCTAAATGAAAGCTAGGTCCTTTCCCTTCCTCTCTATCAGCCCCTCCCTGAACAATGAGCTTGACTCAGAGCCCAGAGGGATAAAAGATGAAGACAGTCACTTTCCAGAAGGAGCTTACAGTCTAGCTAGAGGGACAACACAATAATAAAATGTATATTGTAATTCAATATACATAAAACTGTACAGCAACTATCCTGCAATACACGTGCTGTAGCAATGCCAGCCACACACTGTTAACCAGGTAGGAGGTGTGCCTAATTCTGTGTAGAGGGAGCGTGGGGAAGACTGCAGAGAGGAAGAGGTTTCCCTGAGGAATGGAGAAAAGTTCACCAGGGAAGGCATCTCAAGTAGAGGGAATAGCAAGATTAAGGGCATGACAGTGTGGAATTCAGGGAGCATCAAGGGCATAGTGAGTGGTATGTGCGCGGTGGGAGAGAGTCTTGGCAGTGGTCAGAAAACAATGTGAGAACTCAGCCCAGCGTCAATCAACCTTGGCTTTATTCTATAAGCAACGGGCAGCCTTTTAGGGCTTAAAGCCTTTAACAGGGGAGTGACAAGACAAATGTGGTGTGGAGCAAGGATAGGAGAGTTAGGACAGTGTTTTAGTGATTCATGTGAGGGATGGCAATAAAAGTTTTATAAAAATTATACAGTCACTTGCTTACATGGCTATTTTTTAAAAATCAGATGTAATCTGGACTGCCTGAATACATCTATGTACAGGGTCCAGTTCCCCCTTAACCAAAATTAAAGTAGATTTCAATAGGATTCCAAGTCTAAGATTCTATGATTATAAAAAGCTTGAGGGCCAAAAGTTTGAGAATTCTGATAATTTAATAGGAAATGGATATTATATACTAGTTGAGTCAAATAATGGTTTGGTAGTTTCTTCTAGTAAACATAAAAAGATGTATTACAAGAACAATTACCAAAAAAGTGTGGCAAAGAATAATACAATGTAGCTTGAAAAAGTCAGAACACCAGGAATAATAGAGCATGTGTTGAAGGGATCAGAACACTACATCACTGTTTGCAGAACAGAATCCACTACCATGCATTACTTCGAAGTGTGTTGCTTAATTTCTAAGTAGGTGGAGACTTCCCAATTACCTTTCTATTAGTGATTTCTAATTTAACTCCATTATGGTCAGAGAAGCATACTTTGTATGATTTCCATCCTTTTAAATTTAGGTTATTGTTGTTGTTATCCTCACCAAGTATATGGTCTTTCTTGGTGAATATTCCATGCGCACTTGAAAACAATGTGTCTTCTGCTATTGTTGGGCGGACTGTCAGACAAACGTCAGTTACTTCCAGTTGGTTGATGCTGCTGTTCATTTTGTATATTCCCTTGCCATGTTTCTGTTTATTTGTTCTATTGATTACTGAACTAGAAGTGTTGACGTATCCAAACATAATTGTGGATTTTCCATTTCTCCTTTAAATTCTATCAGTTTTTGCTTCACACATTTTGAAGGTCTGGGGTTAGGTGCATACACATTTAGGACTGTTACATCTTCTTGGTGAATTCAGCCTTGTGTTATGTAATGTCCTTCTGTATCCCTGGTAATTTTCCTTACTCTGAAGTCTGCTTTTTCTGATATTAATATAACCACTCAAGTTTTCTTTTGATTAGTGTTTGTGTGCATATGTTTTCCCATCCTTTTACTTTGTATCTACCTTTATCTTTATTTTGGAAGTGGTTTTCTTGTGATAGCATATTATGCGGGGTGGGTGTTTTTTCATTAATCTATTTTGAAAATCTTTTAACTATGTGTTCTGAGTATTTACATTTAATGTAATTATTGATGTGTTTGGATTTAGATTTACCATGTTCTTTGTTCCCTCCTCTGATTTGCATTGCTCTGTCTCCTTTTACTGTCTTCTTTTGGATTATTTGGTTATTTTTTTAGTTTTAAATTTTAACTTATCTATTGAGATTTTTTTTAACTATATTTCTTTGTTTTTTTTAAATACTCGCTCTAGGGATTACTATACATCTTAACTTTTCACAGTCTGCTTAGAACTAATATTTACCACTTCGAGTGGAATGTAGAAATCTTCCACCATATAGGTCCCTTTGATGTCACCCTCTATGCTGTAGTTGTCATATGTCATCTGCATATATTGAAAACCTTAACAGACAATATTATAATTTTTGCTTTTAACTGTCAAATACACTTTAAACAACTTAGAGGAGAATAATAGTCTGTTATATCTACCTATATATTTACTATTTCTATCGTTCTTCCTTCAATTCCTGAAGTTTGAAGTTTCCCTCTGGTATTGTTTCCCTTCTGTATGCAGATCTTCCTTCAAAGTTTCTGTAGGGCAGGTCTGCTGACTATGGATTCTCTTAGATTTATTCACGCGAGATATATTTATTTCACCTTCTTTCCAAAAGTACTTTCACAGGATCTAAAATTCTGGGTTGACAGTTGGCTCAGCATTTTAAAAATATTGTTCCACTTCTTTCGGGCATCGATGAAAAGTCTGTAGTCATTTAAATGACTGTTCCCTTTTATATGATCTGTTATTGCTGTCTGGGTGCTTTCAAAATTCTTCCATTGTCTCTAGTTTTCAATAGTTTGATTATTATGTTTTAGGTTGATTTCCTTGGGTTTCCCTGTTTGAAGTTTGCTAAGTTTCTTGTTTTATCAGTTAAGGGTTTTTTTTTAAACCATATTTGAGATCTTTTCAGAAATTATTTCTTGATATTGTTCTGCACCACAATTTCTCTTCTTCTGGTACTCTGATGTCAGAATGTTAGACCCTCGTTGTCCCACAGGTTCCTGAGGCTCTGTTTATTTTTTCCAATCTTTTTTTCTCTCTGTTCTTCAGATTGGATTATTTCTATTAAGCTATTTAGAAATTTACTGATTATTTCCTCTATCATCTCATTTTGTAATTGAACTGTGACAATGAGTTTTTTATTTCAGTTATTATATTTTTCAGTTCTAATATTTCCATGTCATTCTTTTTTGCATCTATTTCCCCACTGTTATTTTTCATTCATTTTAAGTGTTCACCCTTACTTCTTAGAGCATAGTTATATAAGCTGCTTTAATGTATTTGATAATTTCAACAACTGTGTCATCTTGGTGTTGAGATCTGTTGTCTTTTTTCCCTTACAAGTTATTGAGATTTTCATAGTTCTTTGTTATCAAGTAGTTTTTTGATTGTATCTTGCACATTTTGAATATTATGTTATGAGACTCTGGGCCTTGTTCATTCCTATGGAAATTATTCTAAGTTTTAACACTATTAAGTTTTTCAGGAAACTGATCTAGTTTAGGCTACAGGCTTTCATTGGCCTTCAGGGGCTATGTTTCTTATGTCAGTCCAGTCTTCAAGGTGTTTTCAGTGCTGTTTGGATAATGAGGATCATCCATTAGTCTGGGACTTGTAAAATGTTCTATCTAAAAGTTCAGTTCTCAAAGACTTTAGTATTCTGTTTAGGCTCAGATCCACCCATGCATAGTTTGGGCATGAGTCCAAGAGTTCATAAACAACTTTATGGGATCATTTTCTTGAATTCCCTCCTATCTGCATTTTTTGAGGCACTTCCTGGTTTCCAGGAGCTCCCTCTTCCTGGCCTTTTTGCTAGAAAGCTGAGATTTCATTTTCCCACTCTGCCATACACTTCCTACAACTGTGTCTGCCTCTGGAGCCATGTGGCAGGAGACAGAAAGAGGAAAACATAAACCAGAGATTCTCCCCCCATGCTCTTGGGCCCACACTTCCTCTGGTCACAGAGGATTCCCCTCCCTGAGAGTTTTAGCGGTCTGCCTGGCCATCACTGCCATACTATAATGGGATTTCCCAGGAGTCTTGGGTGGGAGGAAACAACAACATAGAGGATTTCCCCCATTTGTTCAGACCCTTGGGGGCCCCTTTTCCCTCTCTTCAGACGAGAGAGGGGTTCTTTCGGAGTCCTTTTTGTCCACACCCAGTTTCAAGCTGCTGTTGACTTCAGGCCAGGGGATACCACAGGAACAAGAAAACAGGAAACTTACCACAGGATTAGTGTAACTTCAAATTCTGGTTTCCTTCCCCAAATGCCCTGTTAGCATTTACTTTCAGAGTCTTCAAATAACCGATCTATACATCTGTCCAAGGTTTTTAGTTGCATTCAAATGGAAGAGAGGGGTTGCAGTATGCTACTCCGTCTTCATCCTTGTTTGTATATTTATGTTTCCAGATATCACTAAAAGAATTTTTTAAGCGCTATTACTTAATAGTATGAAGGATACAAAAGATAAGGAAAGGGAACAAACGTTTATTTGAATACTGACCACAGCTTTTAAGTTAATACAATAACCTTATAAAGTAGACAAAACTGGGAGGGGCCAAGTTTATCTCTGGATGGTGGGATGATAAAGAAAGGGACAATATCCCTTGTCTTCGCAAGACCTCCTATAACCCTGGTCCTTACTGTCTAAAGGTGAGGTCTGTCTCATAACTATGAGATGCCAGAGACTTCATGAGTTGCATTTTAATTAAGTAGCCCTAAAAGAATATGCCTTAGCTAAAACTATTAACAGTTTTGCTTTTGGAGAAATGTTGGGCTGTGTGGCTGACCGGCTGGGAGAGATTCAGGGGTTTGGAGACCTCAACATCCTCATTTCACATTGTTGAATGATAACCTCTTCTGCCATGGTTGCCACATATGGCCATACAGGTTACAGACTACCAGCTACAGGAGAAGCTTTTTTTTTCCTCATGGATTTCAATGTGAATGACACCTCCTGGAGCTGTGTGCATTTTGGCTGTGTGCTCTGCTCACAGCAAGGTCCTGGACAATTAAAAAATTATGATGTGGCAATGACAGCAGGTCATCTTGTCTTCATTTACTCTCTGCCTCTTTCCTCCTCTCCCAGTGTTGGAGGAAGATGACTGTTACCTCTCCAGAGACTCTGAATTTGCCTAGAAGAAGCCATCCCTTCTCCCAGAGTGCTCCAACAGGACTGAACCACCTGTGCTGGCCGGAGGACAGACCGGACACTGGTGAGTTAGGTGCCTCTCTCTTTTGTTTTACACTTGGATGTCCTGGAAAGAAGGTCAAGAAGTAAGAGTGTGTTGTAGACTGCTGTGTTTACTTGTCTGGCAGAAGTAGCTTGAAGGTGATCAAGATAAACCATTGTCTCTTCAATTAGGAAGAGGTTCCTAGCACCCAGACAAAGGGAATTCTTGGTTTGGGGAAGATTCCGTTATTGAATCCCCAAACCTGGCTCCATTCGTTTATTTTGAGCAGAACTAATGATCATCCCTTGGGCGTTGTAATAGGATATAACTTGCAGAAGAAATAATCACACAGAGAGCCATCTCTCATCTAGTGATGGAACTTGAGTGTTTTCCCTTCTGAGGGACGAGCCTCTTTCTTGAGTTTTATGGCAGCCTCTCTGAGTCCCTTTCCCAAAACTATGGCAAACAGCATCACATCACATATTTGTCCATAAAAGGGCTAGCTTTTGTGCCAGAAGGAAACTGGGCCCCAGTGAGAGCCAGAATGGGGCCTCCTCATGCACAGCCACTGCCTTTCCTAGACCTAACCTAGGAGGAGCTGGACAGGCTGAAAATGCTCAAGGCCTCCTGGTGGAAGGACAGATGTTGGGTATCAGGTCTTGAGCAGCTGCAGATTATGTTAGACAGCAACTCACAGTCTAAAAGCATCCGGCTGGCTGGAAGGAGAGGCCAAATCTGGTGCTTAAGAAGGATAAAGAAGGGTAAAGCCCTAGACAGGTTGAAAAAGCAAAATGGCGTTGCCTGTCAAACATGTACTTCATCCTGACTTGGCGAGTAGGAATGGGACTGGCATTCAAGGCTGTCCGCACTTTGGTCCTGTGAAGCTAAAGACCTGTAGAAAGCCGATAGAGTTAGCAAAAGATGATATGGAGAGCAGTGGTCAGGCTCTGAGCATTAAAGTGGCATATGCCATGCTAAGGAGTTGGCTCTGATGCAGACCTGAGTCTTGAGCTCTGACTCTGACTCAGTGCATACTGGGTGCTGGTCCTGGGGGAGCTGGCCACTCAGATTAGCTGGTGGACATGCTTATTTTCCATTAGCAAATGTATGCACTTATGCTGCATCGTGCAGTGGACTTTTATGCTTTCCCATATATGGCTGTGATCTTAAATTCACAGTAAGCAAAGTCATGAAAAGGAGTTTGACAACTACTGAAAGAATCTTTTCAAGGGAAAAAATATTTCTAACACAAGCTCTTCATTAAGTCATGGAATCATTTAGAGGCTTCTGGAAGGGGCTTTCTTCCAGCAATAATCCTCAAAGCTGATTTTGGCCCTTGAAGTTAGAAGCTTCTTACAAATTCAAAGTTTAATAATCATGTTTTCCTATTATTTCTTAGCCTCATTCGAATTAATTGGCAGATGAATTTAATATTGCAGAATAAGAAATAAAAACCCCTCAGTGACACAGGTGGCCCTGCATGCCTGCATACCAAGAATACTGCAGCTGCACGCCACACAGGGGTGAGACACTAGGCACCTCCCTCCATTTCTCTGTAGCTCAGATTCCTTTTTATTCAAAAAAGGAGTGATAACACCTGTCTTCCCATTTCACCAGGGGAATGTGAGGGTCAAATACTGTGAGCTTGGGTCTCTATATTGAGCTTAGGAAAGCTTTCTTTCCTTTAATTATTGCTTCTACTCCAGCTGTTCCAAACTTCTGGATTTCTACTTTGTATAAATTGTATTTCCAGTTTCCATCCCTGGAACCTCTCATCATTTTCCCTTTTTGATTCTTTTTTCTCTCAGTTCTGGCAGAATTTCTCAGTTTTATCTTCCACTCTGTTTTTCTGGTTCTATCTCACCTGCTGTTCGTTGCCTTTACCAGAATGTATGATTCAGTGATCATGTTTTTAATCTCCAGTAAGTCTTTCCAATGTCCTCTTGAAACTTGTTAAAAACAGAAAATTGGGAATTTTTTAAAATTTTGTTCTGTTCATGTTTTATAAACTCATTTCCAAACTCATCTGCTTTTCTTTTGACTGGCGGTTTTTTTATAGGAGAAATTTCTCTATTTGCTTATCTTTCCAGCCATCAATCCTTCCCCAGCAATGGCTGTTATCAAGCAGCATTGGAGACAACATCCTTCCAGAGATTGTTACAGGTTTCTGTTAAAATCCTTCAAACACATCTTCCTATGGAAGTAGGAAGTGAAACGTTAAGCTCTCCTGTATATCAGGAGGTCAGTCACCTCGGAGGGAGCTGTAAGCAGTCCCAGCAGAAAGCTGTGCCTCATTCCAGCATTTCTTCTCCATGTTCGAAGGGGTAGCCAAGAATTAGCCTGATGTGGGAGCATGCCACTCTGCCCCGCAAGTCGGCGCCCAGGATAAGCTCCACCATGTCCTCTCCTCTCTGAGTGGAGCCAATAGAGTCAGATAGGACTTTCGAGTCCCCAGCACACAGCATCACGTGAAGCCCTCCACGGCCCACACCTGTGACTCAGGGAGGGTTTGTAGGGTTTTACCAGGAATTTCCCTACCTTCCTTCTAGTTGTACTGTTATGTCAAAGCTATGGGTCACTTCTTCCTTCAAGCCAATTATATTTTTCTTGTAGACTGTGGCTGACTAGTGGTTGATACCCTTCCCCAGTTTCTAATGCTGGTAAAGGAATTTCTCCATTTTCTTAACAGCTTTATTGAGATATAGTTCACATACCATAAAACTCACCCATTTAAAGTGTACAATTCAGTGTTTCTTAGTCTATTCACAGATATGTGCAACCATCATCACATATTTCCCTATTCTGGATTTGCACATGAATGGAACCATATAGGACCTGGTCTTTTGTGACTGGCTTCTTTCACTTAGAATAATGTTTTCAAGGTTCATCCATGTTGTCACATGTATCATTCCTTTTGATGACTGAATAATATTCCATTGTAGGGATGTACCACAATTTGCTTAGCCATTCATCCACTGATGGACATTGGGATTGTTTCCATCTTTTGGTTATGTTAAACAGTGCTGCTGTAAACATTCATGTACCAGTTTCAGTGAAGACATATATATGCTCTCATTCACACACCTAAGAGTAGAACTGTTGGGTCAGATGTTACCTCTGTATGTTGAATCATTTGAGGAACTGCTAAGCAGTTTTCCAAAGTGGCTGCACCACTTTACATTCCCATCACCACTGTAATTCCTGCAACATCCACATCCTCACCAACACTTGTTATCTGACCTTTCAACTCTGGTCAAATTAGCGAGTGTAAAGTGGTACCTTGCTGTGGTTTTGATTTGCTTTCCCTTTTCATGTACTTATTGGCTATTTGTATATTATGTCTTCCTTGGAGAAATGTCTATTCAAATCCTTTACTCATTTTTTAATTGGCATATTTGTCTTTTTTTAGTGACTTGCAAGTGTTCTTTATATCCTGGATACACGTCTCTTACCAGTTACATGATTTACAAACATTTTCTCCTATTCTGTGGGTTGTCTTTTCACTTTCTTGATGGTGTCTTTTGAAGCACAAAAGTTTTTTAAATTTTGATGAAGTCCAGTTATCTATTTTTTTTGTTGTTGCTTGTGCTTTTGGCATCATATCTAAGAATCCTTTGCCAAATTCAAGGTCATGATGCTTTACCCCTATGTTTTTTCTAAGAGTTTTATAGTTTTAGCTCTTACGTTTAGGTCTTTGATATACTTTGAGTTCTTCTGCATGTGGCTATCAAGTCGTCCCAGCACCATTTGTTGAAAAGACTATTCCTTCCCCATTTGAATGGTCTTGGTGCCCTTGTCAGAAGCAAACTGACCAGAGGGGCTGGCCTGGTGGCACAGTGGGTAAGTCCATGCGCTCCACTTTGGCGGCCTAGGGTTCACAGGTTTGGATCCCAAGCACAGACCTAGCACCAGTTGTCAAGCCATGCTGTGGCGGCATCCCACGTAGAGTAAGGAAGATTGGCACAGTTGTTGGCTCAGCGACAATCTTCCTCACACACACAAAAAAAGCAAATTGACCATAGATGGATAGGTTTATTCCTGGACTGTCAGTTTTATTCCACTGATCTGTGTGTATCCTTGTGCAGTTCCACCCTGTCTTGCTCACCACTGCTGTGCAGTAAGTTTGGGAAGTAGAGTGCTCCTACTTTACTCTTCTTTTTCAGGAATGTTTTGGCTATTCTGAGTCTCCTGCAATTCCATGTGAATTTTAGAATCAGGTATCAACTTCTAAAAGAAATCGGCAGGGATTCTGATGAGGATTGTGCTGAATCTGTAAATGAGTTTGGGGAGTATTTCCATCTTAACAATACTGAGTCTTCTGATCCATGAACATGGGATTTTTCCCCATTTATTTAGATATTCTTTCATTTCTTTCAACTATGTTTTGTCATTTTCAGAATACAAGTTTTTACTTCTTTTGAAAAATTCATTCCTAAGCATTTTATTCTTTTTGATGCTTTGTGAATGAAATTGTTTTCTTAATTTCATTTTCATATTGTTCATAGAAAGTGTATAGAAATACAATTGACTTTTTTATATTGATCTTGTATCCTGCAGCCTTGCTGAACTTATTTATTAGTTCTAGTAGTTTTTTTAATGGATTCCTTGGGATTTTCTATATACAAGATCATGTCATCTGTCAATATAGTTTTACTTCTTCCTCTCCAATCTGGATGTCTCATTTCTTTTTCTTGCCTAATTGCCCTGCTTAGAGCCTCCAGTACAGGACAGCTGAACAGAAATGACAAGAAGGTACATCTCTGCCTTGTTCCTAATCTTAGGGGGGGAAGCATCCCATATTCACCAGTAAGTATGATGTTAGCCTGAGGTTTTTGTAGATGCCCTTTATGAGATAGAGAAAGTTCCCTTCTATTTCCAGTTTGTTGAGTTTTTATCATGAGAGGGTGTTGGATTTTGTCAGTGCTTTTCCCATGTCTATTGAGAGGACTGTGCAACTTTTGCTCTTTATTCGATTGATATGGTATATTGCATTAATTGATTTCCAGATGGTAAAGCCCCCTTGCAGTTCTGGGATAAATCTCACTTGGTCAAGATGTATAATTCTCTTTATATTTTGCTGAATTTTGTTTGCTAGCATTTTGTTGAGGATTTTGGCCTCCATATTCATAAGAGATACTGGTCTGTAGTTCTCTTTTCTTGTAATATCTTTGTCTGGTT